AATTGCTTCAAGGAAGGGGACTACGTCAAGGTTGTTATACCACACGAGAAAGTCGCGGAAAGTTGTCATATTCTGTTCGTCCCATACACCCTGGCAATACTCATACTGTTCCTCGGTGATGTCGGTTCCGGATAGAGTGGAATGGAAGGTTTCGCGTGGTGGTAAGGAGCAATGATTGAGTTTGTCGAGGGAGTCGACCCACTCGTACGGGAAGTAGCCTTTGGTCTGGGAGCACTCGTACGCTTTGAGGAACTGTTCGTAACTAAATCCCGGAGCCAGATAGTTTGTGATATCGAGGAATTTTAAGTGTTGAGTCTTAAGACACATGTGGTTATTGTTCCTTTTTATCACAAACTTAACTTGTTCGTGTTTGACGAGATGTGAAAAGAAGGGGTTTTTCGCAGCGTTAATATTATATTTACCAGAGTTGAATCCAAGAATTGGTAGCTCTTGTAAGTATTCTGACAATTTATCTTGGAGTTTGAGTAGAGGATGGACCACATCCTAAATAAATGAAAAGATGTCATAAGTAAAAAGCAAGATACTTGCACATCCCTACTAATCTATATAACAACCGCTAAAATGGATCATGAGTGTGATACTTACTCTCTCTTCAACGTCTTTATCCACTTCGTCTTCATCTACCCCACACACATCTTCACTCACCTAAAAGGTACACATATGGTAAGCACTGGAAAGACCACTGTTGAGCTCAAACCTTATGTTATATACCTCATCATTCAGCCCCATCAAACATCCCACCATTTCCTCTATCATCTGTTCCTCTGTATTTTGCTAAAACATAAGATATATTAGAATATAAAGAATATAAGTGTAAATGTAACCTTCCTATAATTTACCTCATTATCCTCCCCCGCGGCAACTTCCATAACCTCGTTTTCCCCTACCTTAAGATATAAGAAAAAATATTAAGGATAAGAAATATACTAAGAATCTAATACGTGTGAATTATACCTCATTGATTCGTTCATCAATTTGACGAAAAACGTCAGAGAACTGGTCCAGCAACAATCCATAACTTTCCCGGCTGACCTCAACCAAATATTCCACGAACTGTTGGATCATTTCACTTGTACTGCCAGACGAGACGAAACATTTGGGTTGATCATAACCAGGGACGTTGGAGCAAACAGAGACACTCAAGGGGATATGTTCGGCTTCCCACGTTAACTTTGCTGTATTTCGTGGATGTTCGGTTTCACGTTTGAAATAACACTCAAAGTCAAAGGTGGCACGATAAGGGAAGTACTTGAGGTCTTCAGGGATTTCGATTCCCTCGTCGGCCAGTAGATCGAAGATGGTTTGTGGAACTTTGTAGGCACCGCCAGGGAAAACATGACGTATAGTTGCTTCGCATGTTCGCTCGTGCTGGTTCAAGGCTTTTGCCGTTTTCCACATTTTGTCACATTTGCAACAACAGTAGGACTTGGAATACATGGCCAAATTCTTAATGTAGCTGAAATGGCTACCATATAGGTTGAGGTACATCGAATTGGCATATCTACGGTGAGATCGTTGAATCAGTTGAGCCACAATGGAGGTCGTGTCGTTGTCCTCATCATAACATTCCACGAGCCGATATACAAAAATGTTCAACTCGAATAACTTTTCTAGTTTGGGCAATTCTTCCAACGTTACACCGTCAAAGTCGTCACTATCGTCATATTGTTCATAAAAATGCTGAGTATCACGTTCTAAATTTTTGGAATGACATCCACGGTGTAGGGCCAAACAACGAAAGAAGCATAGTTTGTCTTCGTATGGCAAGCCTGTGTTATCATCACAATCCAACGACACAATGGCAGGATTATCCAGTATGTATTTGGGTAGTCGGACACTGCGGCCTATGGGATGGTCTCGAAGTTTGGTGACGTAGAAGGTAACGTTGGTGAAATCCATGACAATCCATTTGGAGTTGGGACGCTGTTGTCGAGCCCATTCATGAATGTCGATGTTTTCCAACGCTCTACGCACTTGGACCAAATCCTCATGGTTATGGATTTGGAATGGGGAGTCGAAAACACGGTTGTTATTTGCTGAGGGGTGGTGATATTGCATTTGTTGCGTCTCGTTGTTAAACAATACGAAACCAAAGGAGAGGTTTAACTTAAAGACCGTGGTTTGATCTTCAAATATACGGTCTATATCGTTGACAAGTTGACCCATATTCGCTGAGCTTAGACGATAGTTGTACCAATCTTGCACTCGGTTGCCTCGGCTTTGTCGCGTACGTATAGCACGCCAATGATCTCGGTGAAGTTGGGAAGGCAGGTTAGATGGGGGTAATAGGGGGTCTTGAGGGAACGGTTGGGGTCCTATAGAAATAACACCCGATTCTTTATTTTTGTCTAGAGCTTCGCACTAATTTTGTCATACAAACACCCGATTCATAAAAAATCGACATAAGTCTAACATGAATAAATTAGTAACATGCAAATTTCACATAGCAACATGATAAACCCACGCAACAAAAATTATTTTTACCTCACTATAAAACGCTAGCGAATGTTACTAAATGATAAATACTCGTACAATGACATAAATTAATAGTTCTAAAGCAAATGAACATAAGTCTAACACGAATAATTAGGAACACTCCACACTATAAACCCACGCTTAAAAGTTACTCGAATATTTTTATCAGGTTTTCAAAACACAAACAGTGAAACAACATGAAAACAGCATGAAAATATTTTTCAAATGTAAACGTTAGGATTTCAGGCAATGTTTTAAAACCGAGTAATTAACATTGTCAATATACACATCAAATCACCACAATCAATATACTATATACGGTATAAAAAATTGAATTTCATACCTTCGTTGACGACTGTAGACGTAGATGCCCCTGAAAAGGAGAAAAGTGTATTAGTATGATTTTAACTCAAATTATTACACAGAATATACTCTCTTACCTTCGTTCACCGATGTCGAAGATGTTGGTGGTTCTTAAAAGAGAAAAAATATCTGTATAAATACAAAATTAGTAATCGAAATATTTTCATTTATACATACCTGATTCATCAGTTCTTTGCCTTTTTGTTCGCCCGGTCGACGTCTTGGTAACAGGGTGGACTTTTGTCGACGCTGCATAAAAATAGTGCGGGCTCGTGAGCTTTTTCCCGCAAATTTAGCTTTTTGTTGTTTTGCTTACAATTTCTAAGGATGTTGAAGTTTTCTGCATTGTGATTCACTGGTTTTTGAAAGCATCGGGGTTTTTTTCTTTGGAACTTGCAGGCTAACTCTTCAACAACCTAATGACTGTTTTTAAAGCAAAGCAATTGAAAGAAAAACTTATATTTTCATACGAAGAAGATGAGTGGCGACATTTATGTTGTGCTGTTTTGAGCAGATGCTTCGAAGAACATGATATGATCGGACCTTGTATCTTAAAAGTGTACTTGGAACAGCCGAACAAAGTGGTAAATTGTGTTACCCGGTGTGTTGGGCATCATAATTCACAGGAATAGTACACAGTGGCGTTTAAGCTGGCTATGAAATATCGTGAATACTTCGTCGAGTTCTCTACCGCCATGTGACCTGTAGTTTAATGTGGCACGCGTCTTTGAAAGGGCTTTACTTGACTTTAATCGACGTGTAAGGTATAACTTAGGTAAGCCAACATTTCTTTGTAATGCAAGCTACATTTTCATATCTTTAATGTGTGAATATTTTTAATTTTGTAAAAAAATAAGCGCCATATGTTGTTGGAGAAAGTATCGAGTGCTTCATAATAACGCTCAGATCTTGTATACAGATATTCGTATTTTATTCAAAATCTACCCTTTATCACCACTTTTTTTATTCTTTTATGTTAAAGTATACATAATCCTTGACTTAAAAACACGATGATCTACTCGAGGAAAATTGGGCAAAGGGGCGATCTTTGCAGAGAAACTTGACCGTTCGGTGAAATTGGTAGTTCAGAGGCCCTATTTTCATTGTAGTATTTCGTGGCAATTTGTTGGCCGATTTCTAGTTTATATTGTAGAACGAGTTCCTAGTGAATTAAATTAATTTTCTATCCTCTACAGAGTAGTAATAAGCGCGTCTCCTTTTTGTTGACAGATGTTGAATTCATTTTAGACTCTTGTTCATAAACAAGGACTACACTACCGAGTACTAAATCACTGTTTGCAAAGAAACGAGCCTATATCACCACAAAAATTCAAGCTTATTTTTAGAGACAAATAGTTTCTCCATGGATAGAAGTAGTTTTTATGTAGTGAAAAATAGGGCAAGTACGAATTTAAAGAAGGTCAATTTGCACTTGTATATCTCACTTCGAAAAGGATATACATATTAAAAACAGGTATATTTGCACTGCGAAATTAAACTGCTGCAACAAAGTTTTTATTTCTACTTTCACGTTCTTATTCCTAAGCAAACACTTCTAAGTTGGAAATGCCTAAAATTGTGAGCGTAGAAACACTAAAGAAACAAGAAAACGACTTCATAACACGAGTAGTTTTGGCAAATTTGATGTTTGTTTTTATAATTCAGTCACGCGATTAACCCGCGCTCACGTGCACTCCACGCTTACGTTTCTCGCGCATGCGTAGACGAAAGTCCACCCTGTTCGTCTTGGTACGTTTCCCACCACCAACCTGATGAACATCCCGCTGATGGGCTTGTAAGGGGAATATATTTCGAAACACCTCACCACAATCATTACAAGTATACTCCCTTTCGGCGCCTCTTCGTTCGTGCATTTTCATGTGGCGGCTCAAATCATCCTTGAAATAATATAAGTAGATATTATTAGCTTAAAATACTTTACTATGTTCCGAAATATATCCCTGTAAATTACGTACCTTTCGATTAAACGTTTTATGGCAACGCGAACACTTATGGTCTTTGTCACTGTGAGTTTTCATATGTCGGTTCAAGTCATCCTTGAATTAATATAAATAGATATTATTAACTCGAAATACCTTACTACGATTTGGAATATATCCCTGTAAATTACGTACCTTTCGATTAAACTTTTTGTGGCAACGCGAACACTCGTGGTCTTTGTGACTGTGAGTTTTCATATGTCGGTTCAAAGCATCCTTGAAATAATATAAATAGACATTATTAACTCAAAATACTTTTCTAAGTTTTGAGATATATCCCTGTAAATTACGTACCTTCCGATTAAACGTTTTATGACAACGCGAGCACTCATGATCTTTGTCACTGTGAGTTTTCATATGCCGGTTGAGGTTGTCCGAACGCTTAAATACGCGACCACAATCATTACAACATAACCCAGACTTCTCCGATTCTTCTTGCCAGTCATTCCATTCAAATAGAACTTGCTCTTGCGTCTCTGGCGACCAGGACTCGAACATTTCATCTGTAGCAACGGCGCAAAGCTGGCGATTGAGTTCGGCATTCTCGAGATCGGAAATGAATTGATTTCTCCTGAAAATATAGAAATGAATTACATAAACAAAACTCTCGATATTATATTCATTTTCAGTTTAAATCAAACTTACAAAATATTCTCTCGATGTTGTTGTGCCATTTTCTTCCAAGTACTTCTCTCCGAATATAAATTTAACAAAATCAGCTACCCAAAAGAACTCCAGTAAGAGCGTTGACAAATGTAGAACTATGCCTATTACAAGACGCTTGTCGATTTTATACAGACGCTCGTTAAATCAAACAACCAATCATAGTAAGCCAACATTAATCCCTCCATTAGTTGAGAGTGCAAAAATATTGGGTCTTGTTATGACAGGCACACTTCAGTGGAAATATAACATCAGAGAGAGTATAAAGAAAGCTAATAAACGCTTCTATTTTATAGTATTATTGAAACGGGCAGGCGTAAATGTCAAAGATGTTTTGAACTTTTATTGTACAGTGATCAGGCCTGTGCTCGAGTATTGTGCGCAAGCCTTCCATCATTCCATTCCAAAGTATTTGGCAGACGAACTTGAGACTGTCCAGAAACGTGTGCTAAAAATTTTATCTCCTGAAATGACATATTGTGAGGCCCTTGAGTATTATAGACTGCCTACTCTATTTCAAAGAAGAGAGGACATGTGTGACAAACTCTTTACGAGCATCATCAAGGATCCAATGCATAAACTTCATCATCTGCTGCCCCCGAAGAACGAGACTGATTATTCTTTCAGGACGAATCGGTATTTTAATATGTACGTTACACGCCCGAACCGCTTTTATAACTCTTTTATCCCTGCTATGTGTAGGAAGTTTGTAGGATAGATTTTATGCTTATTTTAATCGAATTTTGATCGTGGGTGGGTTTTATAATATTGTATTAATAATATTTTATATGTAGTGCATGTGATAATATGTAATCCACGCAATTCAGCTTCTGGCTGCAATGTGGTTTCAATTTAATAATAATAATAATAATAATAATAATAATAATAATAATACATGAGGAGGGACGCTAAAAAATGCGTAGTCAGCAATTTTCGCCCGTTCGTGTTTAAGTTCGCCCGCGTGACGTCATTACTTGCCTGATCATACCCGCGTGACGTCATTGTATGTAATTATGACGTATGTTAATGATGCTGCGCCGCCCCGCGCCGCCCCACGCCACCGCCGCACTCCACCGCCGCAAAAATAAGGCTAGAATACTAATTACCCTCCACACTCCACCGCCGCAAAAATAAGGCTGGAATACTAATTACCCTCCACACTCCACCACCGCACTCCACCGCCGCAAAAATAAGGCTGGAATACTAATTACCCTCCACACTCCACCACCGCACTCCACCGCCGCAAAAATAAGGCTGGAATACTAATTACCCTCCACACTCCACCGCCGCAAAAATCCGGGTCGATCGGCCTCTATATTACTACTTATATATATATATATATATATATATATATATATATATATATATATATATATATATATATATATATATATATATATATATATATATATATATCTTAAGGTTTTGGTTTACGAAACACAAACAGTGCTCAATACCATATAGATAGAGCGTAATATAGTTTTTCGTTTTACCTCAAATAACCACAACAGTCTGTTTCACCCGTATAGGAATCATCAGGTGGTGAATAATTTCGAAACTGTAGGTTGCTTTTATGCTATCGAAAGAATATGCCGAATGCGTGTAGGCGAAACAATGCTTAGGTGAAACAATGCATGCTTGGGTCATTAGGTTTTGTTAACGACCTTGTTTACTCGAAACCGGTTTTTGTGACGACATTTTCCGAAAATTTCGCTTCTTTTATTGAGTAAATTGTCTTTGTTTATGTCTTTCAAAATGCAAAATTTTTCTTCCAAACATAAATTGCAGCGTTTTGATCCCCCTGTGTACGAAATAGCGTGTTTCAAAATTGACCATTTGATGGTATAATCCTGATTGTTTTCTTTTAATTTCCAAATATATTTCGAAAGTTCCGTTTTGTTTGAGTCTTTTTTATGACGAAAAGATGAAGTGTGGTTAGCGTAACGTTCCTTAAATGTAGTCGCTGTCATACCAATGTAGTGTTTAGTGTCGAGATGGAAAGCTAATTTCTTCCTAAAAGGATCAACGACTCAAAACCAAAGCAACCTTTTCGGCCTTTCGTCTAACAAACCGCCTCCTTCAATTCCACTTTTGAAACCTTTCGAAGACGACTTGATAAAACTAATTGAAAACGTAAAAATCCGGCGTCCTAAAGACCAATTTCAGACATCTTTGGCTAACGATTTGAAGAAAATTAATTCATCCCCCAACATTTTCATTCTCGCGGATAAAACTAGAAACATTTACGAAACGTCACTGAACGCATACAACGAACTCTTACATGACAACATCACGAAATATATATATATATATATATATATATATATATATATATATATATATATATATATATATATATATATATATATATATACATATATATATATATATATATATATATATATATATATATGTATAATATATATATACGAGTAGGTTTGTGGATACGAAACGCAAAGAGTGCTCAATATCATAAAGATAGGGCAAATGTAGATAGGGCAAATGCAGTTACTGTTTCATCAGTAAAGAATCATCAGGCGGTATGACAAGTTTCGAAAATAGGGCAGCTTATATGTGTTTTGGCCGGAACGTGGGGGTGGGTGGCTGAAACAAAGCATGCAATCATCTATTGTTTGCGTTGTTTACGCGGAAATGCCTAATCGAATTGTGGGAGTGTATTGTTTGCGTTGTTTACGCGAAATTTCTTCCTATGTCTGCACGTAGATATAATTTCCATTCTTTTATTGAGTAAACAGTTTTGGTTTTCTTTCAAAATACAAAATTTTTCCTCTAAACATAAATTACATCGTTTTGATCCTCCCGTATACGAAATAGCGCGTTTCAAAATTTGCCAATTGATATTAAAATCTTTCTTGCTATCTTTCAATGTCCAAATATATTTCGAAAGTTCAGTTTTGTTTGAGTGCTCTTTATGCTCGAAAGTATAGTTATGGTTAGCCAAACGCTCTTTAACCACGTACCGTTAGCACTGCATATTTTCAATTTATGTAAAGGTGGGAGTTCATAGTTGTAAGCTTTATAGGCCGTTTGCTGTCCCACAATATCGTTCAATTCCGTAGTGCACCTCGTGGAACTAAATAATTTTATAATAACTTACCACTTTCAACTACGCTGAGTACGAATCCGAAGAGTTCCCGCTCCTAATCTCTTTCATTTTGTCACAATTGCCTCTTATGTTAGCACTCATTTTCAACGTCAACAGCCGCCATTTTGAATATTGCGTAACATACATCATAAAATAACATCAGTCGAATCGAGGAATTGTGACGTCAAGGCCGCCGACCGTTTACCGAATGTTCACCAAAGGAGGTCTCGCTGCATGTTAAATAATAAAGCATGGCGCAAAAACGCGGGAATATCAAAACAAAATGGACGAAAGTTCATGCATTATTCATTTCACGGGAAAAGGCGGGCAAATAAAATCTTTAACCACTGAAACATTAACGAAAATAATCGAACGAAGAAAACAGTGGCTGAATCTCCCTGAAAAATACGGAGAATTCAGCGATGTTGCGGAGAAAACGTACGCTCATATCCCTGCCAACAAAGATGAGGTATGTGAACATGACGAAAAACTTGGTTATCATGTTTCTTGCTATCGAAATTTTACCGACAAAACCAAGCTTGAGAGAGCGGAATCAACGCTCGCGAATTTAAAGAGAAAGAAAGACGAATGTGAAAACCAAGACGATGATCCTGTTCCCCAGAAAAGGACACCGACAAGGCAGTCGTCCCGAATTCAAAAACAAAGCTGTTCCCCTACCATATCTATTTCTGTTCGTGGAAATATTCTACCGAAAAGGTGCTTGGTTTGTAAAAAAGCAAAACCTATTAGTGTATTTGAAACGGTGAGTATAGTGAAACATTGTTTTTATTTATTACTTCAAATATAAGAGAGGTGATCTGAGATTGTTCTTATTATAAAGCCCGAATCAAGTGAGAGCGGAGGATCGCAAGTTGGCAGTCAAGATTTACTATCGTAACAGTCGTTTTAGCATTAACAAAATAACTGCTTCGTGATTTCCAACTAGCGTGATTGCCAACTTGCGTTCTCGTTTGATTCAGGCTCTAATTATAGTTTCCATTTTTGTAGCACTCGCGAAAGTATAAAAAACAGTTCCTATCATTGGCACAAACAATTACGGCAGGAGCATGCACTACAAGAAGCAGCCAAACTACATAATGACACTGATTTGCTTTGTGAAATTGCAGGGAAAGACTGTGTTGCAATTGAAGCACGGTATCATAAAAAGTGCTATTTACAGTATACAAAGATTTTAACGCGCAAGATCAAACCTATTGGTGCAACAGTTTATGACAATGCGTTTGACATTTTTTGTGCTGAAATTATTGAAGAAAGAATTGTTGGTAACAAGGAAATACTTCTTCTCAGCTATTTGCTGGTGGAATTTATTAAGATTGTCAAAAAATTGAATGGAGAAACTATTGTGTACCAATCAACTAGGTTGAAGAATAGGATCCAAGCGCGTTATCCAAATATTGTCTTCCATTCATCAAAGATGATGAACAAAGGTATTCTCAATCCTGTAGCCAAATTCAGCTGACAACATAAACAAATCCCTCATTATTTTGTTTTTTCTTGATCCCTGTATTGGGTTTTGGAGATGTATATTTTTCAGTTTTGTTTTTTAAAGGTATCCTTGTGTATGCAGATTGCGTTGTTACAGGAGATGTAGCTGATGAAGTGATGGATACAAGTAAAGATGAAGACAGAGATGAAGAGGATGAAAATAGTGATGAAGGCTGCCGCATGAGTACAAATTATGACCCAGATGAGATGTTTGATTGCCCTTTGTCTCAGTTGTTTTATGTTGCAATGAACTTAAAAAATCTTCTTAATGATAATAAAGGGATGAGTGTAGTTTGGCCACCCGACTCGCATGACCTATCAATGGAAGAAGCAACCAAATCAATCCCCTCTAGATTGTTTAATTTTATTGCTTGGATGTTAGGATTTTCAGTTGAACCAGTTGAAGAGAGTAAGGTATCCATAAGTGATAGCGAAACTTGTAAGGTTGTTTCGATTGCACAAGATCTCGTTTATATAGCGTCAAAAGGAAAAAAGTTTACGCACAAGTCACTAGCACTCGCAATGGCCACTCGCCACATTACTGGTTCTGTTAAGCTTGTTAAGATTCTCCATGGTTTAGGGCATTGTGTTTCTCCAGCAACAGTATATAAACATGACTCAGCGTTAGCTTTAAGTTGTAATAATACTGATCAGGATTTAATTATTCCCAGGAATATAAATCCAGGATCATTTTCAACCATAATATGGGACAACAATGATTTTAATGAGGAGACAGTATCGGGAAAAGGAACTACTCATGTTGCCAATGGTATAATTGTGCAAACAAAATCCAATGACACACCATTATTACCGAAAATAGAAGTTAGCAAAACAGTACGCACTATCAAACCTCCAGAGACAGATATTCTTCCTTATTTGTTGGTCAAGAAAGGACTGCCGTCTTTATTCAGTCACAAAGACGAATTAGTCTTGGATAATAAGAGTCATCGCCAACATCAGAGTGATGGAAGAATATTTGATTTTGCATATATTTTGTCCAAATTACACCCTGCACCCAATGGAGTAATCTTACCAAGCTGGACAGCGTTCAACACCAAGACAAATCCGACTATACCAACGCAGTCAACTATTGGATATTTACCTGTTATTGATGCCTCCGTGACAGATTTAGCAACCGTTAACACCATTTTGGGACGGAGTGTCTTAATTTGCAAAGAACTGCAGCAACCACAGATTGTGCTGGTGTTCGACGAGGCAATATACGCGAAAGCACAAATGATTCGATGGAATCATGAAGAATACCTCAATAAGACTGTCATTAGATTAGGTGATTTCCACACTGTGATGTCGTATTGTACTGGAATATCCAAAATTTTCAAGGATGCAGGCTTAACGGTATATAATTACATAATATAGTGACAGATTTATATTAAATATCTTGCTGTAGATTGTTGACAGTACATTTGACTATATTCATGATGTCTTGTATTTAACCTAGGACATTTTCATTGAATCTGGAATTGTTGCTCCTGGATCCATTACTGGTGTTCTTTCTGGGAAGCACTATAACCGCTGTGTCAGAGCACATAAGTTGGTTTACGAGGCATTACAACGAATGAGATTCCAAACATACATTAATTCATTATCTGAATCCGAATCCGAAGAATTTTTTTCCCATTGTCAGCTTCTCACAGAGTGTTTTGAAAATGATACGTTCAAAGAGTTTTGCCTCGAAACCAATACATTAGACGAGTTATACTGCAACTTTGATGAATTTAACAAAAAATGTTGCCAAGAAAATCCAACATTTGCGTTCTGGTCGGTATACATTGAAATGGTTCAAGTACTTTTGTTATACATCAGAGCAACTAGAACATCCGACTGGGCCTTGCATCTTTCTGCTCTAAGATCTATGATCCCTTGGTTTTTTGCTACCGACCGCATCAATTACGCACGATACTCCCCCTGCTACTGGTTAGAAATGTCTTGTCTGGACGAAACACACCCGTGTAAGTGTATTGCTGGCAATAAATGAAAAGTTAGAATAATGAGTTAGGCAGTTACTTTACCTTACCAAACATTGATCAGGACAAGTTGTTATCCAGTGTAGGTAATGCATGTTGTATACCCAAATTATCAATTACTTTATTCTTCAACTTTTTAGATGTTTCGTTCAACATTGCAACGAACTGGACTGTACAGAGACAGTCAAACTATGGATTTTCAAGTGTCGCATGTGACCAAACTATAGAACAAACGCTAAATCGCGACTCTAAAGTGAAAGGTGGGCTAGTAGGCATTACTCTTAACCGTGGGGCTATGCATCGATGGATACTAGGACAAGCAGAACGAGCAGCAATCATGCGTCAATGTGAATTAATGGCAAATGTATCTGATATCCCCAGGTGAATATAATGCATGAACATAAAAAAATTTACAATATATTATGCATTCATACGAACAGAGAATGAATAAATTAAACTTGCATGTTCATTCACATTTCAGAGATAGAAAGGACTTGGACAAGACAAGGATAAAATCTGACGAAGATGCAGTAGTAGAAGTTATTCACACAATCGACGCTTTTGTTAATCCCTTTGAAAATGATCATACCGAACTCGTCCATCTCGCAAGTGGAAAAGTAGCCACAAATGCTGTTGCATCAGACATGACAAACATGTTCGAAAGAGGCGAAAAAGCTGCCTTGGATTTCATGAACACGAAAGTTCTATGTAGCAAGCCTGATATATACGCTGCAATTAAGAAAACTAATCTGAAGACTTTTTCTCAAATGAGCACAAAGGTGAACAGCAAAAATAGGAAAGGAGACGTTGTAGCAGTAAGAATTCAAAAAAGCTGTTTGCCAAAATGTTGCTCATCGCCAGAAGCAGAGACGTAGATATAAAAGAGGTTCTTCAATACTCATTAAGACCATTCCCACTTCCTTTGGCTACATCTGATGGCAATCTTGTAAAAACTGCGAAGTCAAAACTATTACATCTTATCGAGAACAGGACTACTGATCACTTAGTTGATAGAATTGAAGGCGATAAAGTTCTTATACTGGATGCTATGGCAATACTTCAAACCATCAAAATTATCCCATCTACATTTGGTGAGCTTGCCCATAAACTACTTGTCATGGTTGTGGAACTAGCCGTGAAGTCGAAAGCGAAAAGAGTTGATTTTGTATGCGATCGTTATCCTGCCCAGAGCATAAAAGACTTTGAAAGGGCAATACGTGGTGAAAGAGGGACGCAGCTGATTAAAATCTACAGTTCCCTCCAGAAAGTTCCTCGCCAATGGAAGAAATTTATAACGGCTGGAGAAAACAAGGAAGAACTGATAAAATTTCTTTTTAAATCCTGGAGTGAAGAGTGTGATCCACAGCTGCTGCGAGGTGTGGAAGTTTTTATCGCACACGAAAGCCAGTGCCATCAGCTTGTTGCCTTGACAAATACAATCGCATGCCACGAAGTAGAAGATCTTGCCTGTGACCACGAGGAGGCGGACACGAGAATGCTCGCTCACGCAAAGAGTGCGTCCGCAGAGTATTCCAGTATCATTATTAAAAGTCCGGATACGGACGTATTTATCATAGCCGTAAATGCTAGCTTGTCAATTCGTGCTGATTTATATTTCGAGACGGGGACGAAAGATAAAAGGCGGATAATATCAATTAGTAAAGTTAAAGAGAATTTGGGAGATCTGTGGAGTGCAGCATTAATTGGTTTTCATTCTTTTACAGGTAACACTTTTAATTTTAAATTTGCTGCTCAACCATTTTCCGAATGAAAAATTAATTAATTAATATCCTTCTTTAAGGTTGCGATACCACAAGCGCATTCTTTGGAAAAGGAAAGTCTTCAGCGCTTAAAATTGCGATGGAAAGCGAAGAGTACGCTCTGGCATTTTCAAACCTTGGAAATGAATTGGATGTACCAAGTTCTATGAAAGCTGTCTTAAAAACGTTTGTGTGCCATTTGTACGGCGCTGAAAATCAGAGTGATGTCAATCTCGTTCGTTACTTACTGTTTAAAGGAGGAAAATTTGACGAGGAATTATTACCACCAAACGAGGATTCTTTGGAGCAGCATGTGAAGCGAGCGAATTTCCAGTGTTTTATTTGGAGGCGTGCAACTAACTCCATGATGGTTGCACCCAGTTTCTCTGGACACGGATGGGAGATCGATAACATTGGACACGTACACATAACATGGATGACTTTGCCTCCAGCACCTGACTCCGTACTGGACTTTGCTAACTGTAAGTGTAAGACCGGTTGCATCAATAACCGTTGCTCTTGTAAAAAAGCTAACTTGAAATGTTCCGAGCTTTGTAACTGTAGTAATTGCCAGAATGGTGCCAATGGACATACGGACACAATTGAGGATGTTGATTCTGACGACACATATAATCCAGTTGATAGCGATAGCGATAGCAGTGTAACTGAGTTCTAACTCTTCGTGTCAATTAGGCAATGTTCAAACATTACAATTTTAAAGTGTATGCGCCAAAGTACAAATGTACGAATTAATATATTGGTTAAGGTGGCTGGCTATCTACACTTCTTAAAAAATGGAAGACTCGTAACAATATTATTTCGCATGACATAATTCTTTAAAAGTCATAATAATGATTCAAAATACTAAACAAATTTGTTTTATGAAATAAAAAATGGGATAACCGACCTTATTTGCAAGTTAAATAACTTTAAACCCAAAATACCAGCCATATTGAAGCGTCATTGTTGCCATAGCAACGACAGTGGCGATTCCTTTTGTTTTCGAAAAAATCAAACTGTAGTCATTTTTCAGAGGTCATTTTTCTAATCGGACTTTTCTGTCTTTTAACGGATAGGAATTGTTGAAAAATTGGGTCTAAATCGGAGATCTTCCATTTTCTTGAGAACTGTAGGGAGACTTTCACATAAGGTTAATTATATTGAGCAGACGTTAAAGATAATATAAAAAAAACTTTACACATTCATTCGTGGCAGTCTTGACATGACTAATTCTGTGTTTATTGTGAACAATCAAAACTTACATCGGAAATGCGTAGAAGTAAAAACGAGGCATATCAGAGAAAACGCCTATTATATGATACTATAATGACGTCATCATTTTGTAATGTTTTTAAAATCTGTGAAACAAATAGAATCCATTTGGTTTATTTTCTTTACCTTTCATCAACCATCATTTCGTAATGATTTACTAAAGATTTAGCTATTACCTTTAGAATTTTAAGCAGTAAGCAATGATTTTTACCAAATCATATTTTGCTGAGGTCAGCAAATTTTAAATCGTCTATAACGGTGAAATGAAAGAGATCAGGAGCGGGAACTCTTCGGATTCGTATTCAGCGTAGTTGAAAGTGGTAAGTTATTATAAAATTATTTAGTTCCACGGGGTGCACTACGGAATTTGTATTCTAGGCCGTTTTTAGCCTCACAGCAAACGGCCTATATCAGGGAATCTCGACTTCGAGAGTCTCGGTGAAAAATCTCCGATATAATCACCTCCCCTTCGGCGGATAATTAGGGACCTTTAGCAAATAGGTGACGGCAACGCAACGACGACTGCCAAAACACACTCGTTCAAATAGCCCAAGTAACTTTAAGAACAACATGTCTTGTATTATCCGTTGTATGAATTTATTGCAGTTTAAGAAGGTTAAGACAGAGGTTTATAGTTGAGAAGGCTTCCACTAAGCCAATTTGCTGAGGCTTGAAAGGCAGACGTTGTATACAAAACGAGAAAAGCTTTGGTTTACTGTTGTAAACAGAGCAGGGACGACGTCCAAAACTCCCAAGGGACATTTAATTATGCATTTTCTTTCTACACTGTCATAAATTTCATTGTATTAATAGCCATCGTCGTCCTGTTAGCTAAAGGTCCCTATTGTTGAATAGTACGACGTCCACATCAACGCGCGAATGAGGAATTATACTTACAGAGTTTGTGCCCCCGTCTTGTATACGATAAACAATTATACACGCTTTGCAGACTTAACTAATTATGAAACTTACCAGGATAACCACTTGATCTCACCACACATCGGTACAAAATGTCCACATATTTTCTCTCAAAGGGGCATGGATCGCTTGATAAAGAGTTCACTGAAATGTTACATCTATTTTTTCCCTCACACATTGTTTTTACTTCCGCGAGAACTTGAGATTTAGAATTAATGTATGATGTAGCGCAAGTTTTATTGGCAACTGTTGAGATTGAACACATCCCTTGCGTAAGTGCTGCAAGCTCTGCTCTTTGAATGTGCATGACAGTTTTGGATATCGTGCAGGATAGTGTTTCCTCTCCACAAGAGTTTATGACCTTTTCTTTTTTGTCTAAATGGATGGAAAAATCGTCAGTGCTGAGTACAGTTTATGACTGCACATGTTTCTTATCGCAACAGTTTTGGCTGCATGTATGTGCTATCCCAACACACGTGAATTGGAAATTGATATTTGCATTGGAGTCTAATAGGCTGTAATAGCAATACCGCTGTCAAACGTTAAGCGCATTGCAAGTAAAATGTCTGCCAAAATGATACGAATACATACGGTAAAAGGAACGCGTTGACTGTAAGGAACGCATAAAGATATAAAGTAGGGAATAATTTCAATAACGCAAGTAAAAAAAATTAGTAGCTTCTCGTCCGAATTTTGAAAAACAGGAGAATGTGGGCGCTTTTTTTTTGTTTGTCTGTTAAACCTTCAAATATTGCGCTTAATTAAATTTTACCAAAATAACCTATAAACACACGCAAATATTGAAGTTTACTCATAAAACGTAAATATATTAAAATAGACAAACAGCTTCTTGTGCAACATGGCGCCAAAATGACAATATGGTGCGAACAGCGGGCGCGAAGTATCGAACAAAGCAAGCGAAAATTGACCAGAATTTCCGAACGGCAACCTAACTATGCCGAAATGAGCAAAATGGCCGAAATATACTAAGGCACTAAGTGGAAATTCTTTGAAAGGCTTGAATATACAACATGAAAAACAGAAAAATCCATGCGGCAGGGAAAAAGGATGCGGGCGGGGACGAGAACCTACTATTTTTTTTGCTTGGCCTAAGATTACTTTCAGTGATTCTAAGGAAATCTCATTCACTATTCATTTGTGGCCAAAATTGAAAAATATACATCTCAAAATTTCGACATTTTTTGGTAATGTAAAAATTGATCTGTGCAGCGTGAATAATTATAAAGCCAAGCTCCATGGCCACCCTTCTCTGGAGTGCATATGTTCCACCCCTTGACACAATAAATGAGATCTGGTAAATATCACTGGCTTATACTGTCACCTGGCTTACGGCAAAGAACAATATGAGTCTCATTACAATGCGCTCTATTCCATAGTTCGGACTTCGTGACCAACGTACATAAACCAGCGAATAAACCTTGTATCAAACTTTCTCCATTAAGTTTATTATATAGATCTGCACTACCATCACTCCATACGAACTTCGTCCCATGGTATTTATGTCCATGATATCCAATCCAAAATGGCAAACGTAATTCAAACATGTTCTTATGGAATTGTTCTTCGTATTCTGTGTTAAATTTCCCGATCTCTCCACCATGCATCTTACAATAGTCAGCTCCCTCAAACCAATTTAGTTTTGTGCGTGAGAAAAAATAACATGAACCATTGATGTGTGAATGGCAGTTCTGATTTTTCTTGAGCCAGGTGGGAGCTAAATTAAAGGTGATGGGAAAGTATGAGATATTTATGATGTATAACCATAAAGTAGCTCGCATGCAGGGCAATGTGCACTGCTGTGCATGCTCGATTGTAATTTCAAGATTATTTTTTTTTATTTTTTATTTAATGATTTGCCCATGTGATATACCATTATGTTACATAAAAAGTAAATAAAATAAAGTAGAAACATTTGGGCTAGGAGTCTATAGAAACCTTGAACAGGCTTTTGATTTAGACCCCTAGTTTAAAGTCTTGATGCTAATATATATTGTTAAATTGTCATCGGTTCTATGTATTTACAAAAAGTGAGGTTATGTTACATTCAATATTTGTAGGAGAGTATTTACTTTTATTAATTTAAATGAGAAGCTTGAGTTAAATATCTATTTACATGAAGAGAAATTACAGTTAAAGTGATTTATAAGATTAATTACATAGAAAGTGTATTTTGGATTTTTTCTTAAAAATGGGACGTGATGTTATTATTTTTAAATTACTGTCAAGATTATTCCAAACGTCCACCCCTTTCGATTCACTGAAAGCGAGTGCTTGACGTAGTTAGTTCTCTGATAAGACTTATGAAGTTTAGTTGAGTTTCGAGTGTTGTATTGGTGAATTTGGTTATTTGAAATAAAAAAGTTTGTGAAAGTTATTGGCAAGTTCTTTAAATGATGATATCGGAACATGAAAAGACTTGTAAGGTAGTTATTTAACTTACTGAGATTCAAGATCTGTAGGTCAATAAATATTTTTTCAGTGTGAGAAAAATTGGATTGAAATGTCATAAGACGAATTATTTTCTTTTGAACATTTGTTAACTTTTGAATTCTTGTTTTGTATGTGTTACTCCATATTAGATTGCCATAGATTAGATATGGATAGACTAAAGCATAGTATATTAGTTTTAAAGTATTCAAATTTGTAAAATGACGAATTTTTGCAATAGTTCCTGCAGATTTTATAATTTTCTTTGCAACGGAATCGATATGATCGTTCCATGATAAACATTCATCAATAAATACTCCTAAAAAGGTTGTACTTTTGACTTGTTTGATATCGTCGTTATTGATGAACAACTTTACTACGTGTTTCTTTTTCTTTTTTGAGGATCGAAATAAAATAAATTTGGTTTTTGATGTGTTGATAGTTTGATATTCAAATTGGACTTTTCCTACATCCTGAACAGGCGTCTTAAGGGCTGTTTGCATGATGGAAAAAGGGATGATTTTGATGTATTAAAATATTAGTCACTAGGCTAAACGGAAATTCAAACGCTCAAATGTAGAGAAGTAGTTCAAATGTAGAGAAGATCTTGTGGTTTAAGAAGGTTATATTATGCTTGAACAGGCAACCTTTCGTTTACAGTTAACTATACCGTAATCCATCTCTAAAAAAGAGTAAATTTTTTTGCTGAATCATGCATTGTGACTTATTTAAGCACATCAAAATCATCCTCCCTCATATCTGCTGGTAAAGCGGGATCATATAAACAGCCCCTTATTCAGCAAATTGTGCATGCTGCCTTTAATCCCTGGGGGTGAGGCAGCATTTTCCTTGCGACAGTAACTTCTAGTTTCTTATAGTGTTTCATATCACTCCGCTCGTGTTAAATAAATATTAGTGAGCTTAAGCAAGTGACGTTTTTGACAACATGGACTTCAACCGGAAATAAAGTTGACGTTTTTCACCATTCACGGCCCTTAACCCAGTCTTTTGACGTTACTTATGCCGTTCGTGTTGTCAAAAACGTCACTTGCTTAAGCTCACTATATTCACTCACCATGTCTATCTAACTGATATGGAAGTACGCGGACGTTTTCATTTTCAGGTACAATATCTGATCCGTCGGAATCAAGTCGAACAGTCAATTTATGTTGAAACGTGTCCACAGTTCTCAAAATCACGGTCCCTAAGACGGCTGTATTTACGCTTTCTTCTACAAATACCCTTTTCCCAACATGAATCTTGGAGTATTCTAACGACTTAGCATCCTCAACAACATAATTCACACGGTTTGGAGATATTTTATCTATAAAGCTTTGACATCTAGACCGCGAAGTATCAAAATGTTGTAAAGCGTCAGAATCACTTGATGGAAAGCGGCAGTTATAAAAGGCAGTGATTGTCCCATCCCTGTTTTGCTTCTTCAAAACTTTGTAAAATGTGGAAGATTTTCGGATCCAGACTGAACCACCTGAAAGTAAAACATTTAAAATCCTGAACATCTCAAATGATCCAACAGACCAACACACAGAACGGAACAAAATCGGAACGATCCTTGAGCTTATAGTTTATTAATATTATCCTCCTTTAAGATATAAGTCTATATTCTTCTTCTGCGCCATCATGTTAACGCTGCTTCTTTAGGGAGGCCGGGGATGCCCACACATCACTTTTGACATTGTAGGCGGTGTTCTTATGAGAGGATTCTGAAGCTATATTAGAATCACATCCATTGTCCCTGAACCAAAATGTGGTTAGGCTGAAGACAGCTTCTGTTAGACTATTGCATTTATTCGTCTTCTTGATATACAGTAACAACTGTTCTTAAACTATTTTGTCCAGGTTCAATAATCGTTCAGTGCAATAATGTAATGTCATATACACAGAAAGTATTACTAAATGCGGCGTTCCAATTCCCAAAACAGCCCAAAGACTGACCTTGGCATTGAAAAACTCACCTTGTTGAAAACTTAAACATGGTTCAATAGAAAAATTTATTTCGTCAATTCCAAGGTAACATTTAGACGACTGTCTATAAGAAGTTGTTTCTGGATAAGGCGTCTCAGATTGAATATGTACTTTGAAAGTAACCTAGTTTAACAGCATAAATTTAAATAACGTATTGGAATTAAAGACAAATTTCAATATCAACAAATCAAACATTTGGAATTCCATACCTGCGATTTTGCGTAACATCTTTCAAGTGGCATCTCACCAAACAGCCATTGGACATGTCCCTGTACATCTGACAGACTGTGGTACATTTGAAGTGTATTTGATTCAAGCTCTTGGGTTGAGTAAAATGACATACCGTTGCAATAATAAAACGAATACCAGAAAGTCATGCACTGAAATTGTTCAGTCATTTCTTCAGATAACGTAGCCCAAAGTTTTCCTGATGTCTTTGTCTTTAGGAAGTAATCTAGTGTATTTAGATTGAGTTAAAATAAGAGTTGCAGCTATTCAAAATTAATATCGGGGTATCTCCAATCAATACCGGTGACTTACTGTACATCATTGATAAGTATCTGATTAAGATGTCATTACTTGAACTCCATTTGTCTTTGTGCATAAGTTAAGCCAGGATCAAACGAAGATGACAGTTACTGAGAGTTTGACAGTCACGTGACCTTGGTTATTCTAGTTAAGTTAAAACGTATTGTTGGAACACTTACCTTTCTTTTGTTAAACTATACATCTTGAAATGTCTCCCGTAATAATGAGTGGCTGCCTACTCACACAACTCTCATCCACTTTTGACCGTGACTTAATTAACAGTCTCGTGGCATTGTTTAAAATCCACCTAGTGAATGTTTGTGGAACTGTATGCTGAACATAGGCCTATACATATACAATATCTACGAAACACCTGGTAATTAATGGCTGATATAGCCAATACATGAAATGGTCTGGAGAGCCTTTTTACCGGCAAAAGAATGTTACGTCATTTTTGAATATTATAAAACACACCTTGCAGCATAAAACTATTCCTGTCGCCCACTCGTGTAAGTTCCCAAACCCCTGCAGTCCATTTCCAAATACAATCTTCTTCGAACGAACAAAACGGAGACGAGACTATACAGGACAAAAAATGAAAAGGAGTCTTTTGGCACATTTTTCAAATATTACTCGTAGTGTTAATCATTAATTGCACTCCATCCCGCATGATTGCCAAAACAAATTTTTACCGTTGTGAACTTGAGAACAGTTTTTTTGAACCACAGAAATATCATCAACAGCAATATCACCCAGGGAACCATCGCCACAAACACCCTCAATTAACAACTGCAATTTAGAAAATGTAGTCACAACTTGGCGATGTGTGTTTTAATTACAGTTCGTTTGCAGAGCTATTGCCTTAAATTAAAAACAGAATTTTTTACTGGAATCTAAAATCTTTCTTAGAACAACCTCAGTATGATTCATGTAGGCTAACGTTTGTCTTGGCTGGGTTTATGTAACAATAATAGCAGAAATGTAGTAATTTAAAAGATGTTGCGGTGTAAAACTGAAAATTTTCAAAGCTCTAGCTATGTAATTTGAGACTTTGGTTGTTTTAACCCTCACAATAAAATTTGGAGCAACTACTAGAAAATGCCATTCATTTCTGACAGTGATCGTGGAGTGTGTTTTGGACCCGAGTGAACGAAGATTATTTTTATCCATGCATATCAATATATATTTTTATTTTACTCGGCGAAAAAATTGGGGGCACGACACCCCTTGGTCGCACAGAAGGGTGATCCCTGTCAGATTGGACTTACAAAAAATTGCTGCTCGGATCTGATATCAAACCAGGCTGTTTTCCAAGCATCATTGGTTGATGTGTTTCTTGTCCAAACCAGTAGTCTGTCTGCTCTATTCCAAGCTTGATACACACTGAGACTGCCAATGTTGCTGCCAAACATGTGATATTGAAAAGTGAAGCACAAATTTACATTATTCTCAAAAGGACCAGCCTTGAGTATTGCTTTATCACCCTGAACACGCGGAGAACTTGCCTCGATATAGATATATGATCCTTAAAAAGTAATTAATATTTTTAGTAGGAGAGACGGTGCAACAAAACAAAAGGTAGATAATGTATATAATTTCACTGTATAATATGGTGTAGTGTCAGTTTATAATATATTATCCCCGAGCCAACTGCGTGGAGCGCCGTTCCGGGCGTAAACCTATGGCGAGGTTATTAACTAATTCCTTTAGGCTATTTACAGCCGGAAAAAGGAAAGCATTAGTGAAAGTTAAAGTCGTGTCATGGGTACGTATGTGAGGGGACCTCCTCACTGATAGCAAAAACATGGCTGTTTGCCAGGAGTGGGATAAGCAATATTTCAAATTTTAAAGACATCTATTTGGAAAATCGTTTCATACCATGAGCTTTTGAGCGATTTTGCCTTCAAGCTAGAAATAAGAAAAACTGATATACCATGCGAAATGGCCGTGAAATATAGGGTAAGTTTGCTTTGAATGTTTACGTTTATGAATTTTGTTGCTTCAATATTTTGCGTAAAACATGCACTGCTTTCCCATTCAACGTAGCTGTGAAATTACTAATCTGTTTGAAAAAACTTAAATAGTTATTGAAATTATTATTTGTTTTATTAAATAGTTACTACAATTTATCAACAAAAGTAGTTTTAATATACTTGAAGTCTTGAATGAACATTTGAAAAGATTTTACGAAGAGTTTCAGAATAAATGTTACATTAAATCAAAGCTCACAAAATGCGAAATAGCATATCGACAGTAAATATTTCGCAAATTCATTTTTGTATAGTTAAAAGCATTGTATAGATAAAAGCATTAATATTTCAAAACTTTTTGGCATTTTTCCCTCATTTTGTACAAAAAATATAAAAAATTTAAAAATATCGTGTTGTCATGGCAACACTTGGGCGTCAACGCAAGCCTGCATTCAGTGTTAGTCAATTACTAATAATTCATCTTGAATTAATGTTTGGAAAATATGAGCGAGGGGTTGGTGCATACATGTATTTCTAGTTCTATAGTTCTATAGTGAATATTGGGGAAAGGATATGATACGGCATGGCACGTAATGGTAAGGCAAAAATGGTATGGTGTGCTGTTGGATGGTATGGAATATTATTAGAAATTACTGTACAAATTCCAACCTTCCTTAGAACCAGTTGTATGATCAACTTCCGGCCCAGTGTTCTTGGATGATGTCTCGCCACTGTTAATGGACCAATCAAAGTTGTCTTCACCATTTTGGATCTGTTGCCAATCACAAAGACCATCTTTTTCAAAATTGCAACTACCTAAACACGATCGCGTTATTGATGAAAACTTCTATAAATAAAATGTTGTGATCTGTTTTTGTCAGGGCTGGGAGAACGAGAAAGTCTTTGACTTTACAGGTTTATTTAACATTTTTGCGCTGAATTGCATTGCATTGTCTTGAAGTAGTATGCTAATGTTCAGTATACTATGATATTATGCGTAAAGTGTGTTTCTTTATCTTAACAATCCCTCGCCTCATCAAGAATTACATCTTCATCTATTATGTGTCCTCACAATTATTAGGTTACAGTAGTATTCCGTGTCAAATGACAGAACCTACTGACAACTCTATGATATATAAGCTGTCAATTCCTTTACATGTTGCTTTGCCGGTACAAGTAAAGATAATATCTGCTTTTCAACAAATAATGATGGTGCAAAAATGCGGCGAAGATATAGTGCTCTTTATCAAATATAGAATAAATATAAAGGCAGCCAATTGTTTTTATGGGCTAGTTCTGTGATCGACTTAATTCTATTTCTGGATTACAATGCATGGAATGATCTGCATACAATGATTTAGCATAAATTCAGTTGTGTATTGAAAAATGGCTTTCAAGCGCTCTGATTGGCTCCCTCAGCAGTAACTCTGATGCAATAGTTACAGCTCAGACTGCTCTGAGCAGTAACTATTGCTTTCAAAACAAAATGGCTGCAGAAAATCCACTTGCAAAAATTATCGAAGAAAAAATTGAAGAAATTAAAGTACATACTATTCCAAAAAGCAAAAGAAGCAGCAATATATCGTGTTATCTATTTCCGAATGACAAAAGCACCTTTTAGATGCCTAAAACAATTTATTTGGTAATTTAAAACCGGAAAATAACAGAATCGCGATCGGCCAGGCGACACGGTTCCGACAGCTGGATTCCTTTGACTCAAAAGCGGAAGAGTGAAGTATATTTACAACGTTTGTATATATTATTATTTTTCAATACTGAATTTATACCAATAACAATTAGTCACCTCAGGCTCGTGAACACAAGGCTAGTATATTCACTTCGCTGCTTTGCAGCTCAGTGAATATACAGTACTCTAGGCTTGCAATCACCTCGCCTTCGGTGATTAACTGTTAAATAGTTTCTAAATAATATATACGCTCAATTAAACTAAGACCATGTTAATGTACTAACCGTCAGCAGATTCTCGACAAAAAGTTATATTTCTTGAATAAATTAGGCAACCAAGATCATTCAGGCTGCACGCCTGGTTTTCTAGAAAAACAAGGCGAGAAATTCAATGAGATCAAGATTTCGACCTTAAAACGTACCTTGGTTCAAACATGCTGTTTTAACTCGTTTCCTGATTAAAAAACACCAGAAACTAATCACACTCTACCTGCTGTTCTGTTGCCACACACGAGCGGTTCATCTGCTCCATCTGGGCAATTCCAAACTCCATTGCAGGTTAAATTCCATGAAATACACACGCCGCTTGGACAATAAAATTGGTCAGGCTTACAAGTTTTATCTATAGATATTAAATTAAAGATGAATATTTTTAGTGGTATCGAATATAGATTTGCACAACTTTCCCCTTTCATTTCCAAAAATTGCAAATTGATTGGATACGTTATAAACACCAAACCAGTTTGTTCGTAAAGAATACCAGATTTAAATTGTTATTAAACTATTATGGAGCTTAGAATTAATATCTTACAACAGTTCTGTTCATCGCTTCGATCATCACAGTCGTTCAAACCGTTACACATCTGTCTAACATCGATACATTCTTCAGACATTTCGCACTTGAATTGTTCGGCAAGACATTCACAAAATACTTCGTCCGAGCCGTCAGCGCAATTCTTGTCACCATCACAGACAAGACCTCGGTTAATACACTCTCCATTCGCGCATACAAAGTTACTCGAGTGGCATTTATATTCTAGAAACAAGGAAGATTTCAAAAAAGAATGATCAGTCCCCGTATAGGTAGTGACAATAGCGAACTTAAGCATGCAAAACTTAATCTATTACGGGGACGTATGAAGAAACCGCCTTAAATTTTACACTTTTACAATTATAAAGCACTACTATTATTAAGAACTTCAACAAGCAGGACGAATGTGCAACGAAAACAGCTAATAAGGGACCGGTCATAAAGTAAAAGGGGGGGGGGGGGGGGAAATCATATATTTGGTGCCTACTTTGGTATACCTTAATAGCTACTGAAATTTTAGCCATCTTAAATTGGTGCTGAAAAATTTGACACACCTTTTCAATTTTCCGGTAAATTTTTTTGGACCCCCCCCCCCCGTCGACAACTTTTTTAGGTAAAAAAAAATTCCGCACGAGTACGTTGCAATTGCTTTTCAAGGACTTTATCTTAATTTTTCATACCAAATCTCGGTACTTAGCCCAAAAAACAGATATCTTCTTCTCTGGGGGAAATTTTTAATAGAAAAAATGACTGGGGCCCAATCCTCTGCATATTTTTACATGGCCCACCCTTATGATTGCGCTTAACTTTCGATGACCCACCCCTTCAACTGTGCTCAAAAAAGTGACCCACCCACCTATTTTTCCCAGCCCACCCCCCTTTTACTTTATGATCGGTCCCTAATATCATATTAATGCAAGAAAATGAGCAGAAATTAATCGAGTAAAGGCCCTTCGTCGGGAATTTGGATCGGAATAATACATATTATTTTATATTAGTAAATATGAATGCAATCACGTGACAAAAAATCCAATCAAGTTTGTTTAGTTAAAAACAAAGAATGTAAATCATATAATGTAAATCACCTTGTCCTTACAACTTGTGATTCACATTTCTTGTTTACATTTCTAAATCACTTCGATGGTTTATTTTTGTCACGCGATCGCTTTTAAATTTAATTTTAATTTCACTAGTATTAAATTACGTGCCAATTTTCCCGACCCTCTCATGCAACTAACTTCTTGTACTATACCTGGATCAGCATAGAGAGGGTAGACATCTCTGTTACAAGACTCAGTTGTAACCATAATATTAGCTAAAGAGACTGTAGTTTTTTGTTGGCTAATTTGACCCTCGAAAATAAACTAAAATAAGAATTTAGAACATCATTAATTCGTATTGTAAGCAAGCATGCATGCAAGCAAACAAACACTTTACAAATGTCAAAGGGAACACGATAATTACCGAAAGAGCTTCACTAGGACGGTAGGTTACGGCTCCATACTTCCACTTGTTTCCATGGTTACCACGTAACCTCCAAACCAATGTCATGTTCGCAGACAAAGTTTTCAAATACATTGTCAATGTATTGTTGTCGCCATTTGTTTTATATTGAAATCTCAGGCATATTCCAGTTTTCTGAACGATCTTCGTATATTTAATCCATTCGTATTTAAGCGAAGATGTGATGTTCTCTATAGTCGATAAGATATGCATTTTACCTGGAATTACAAAAATCAAAACGGCAAAGTTTGCAATGACTTCTTCACTAATGAAAATTTACGTTCCTTCTGTTTTGTAAAAACATGAAGACAGATTGTGATATTTGTGTACAATACGTGATTGTAGCCTTGTGCAGGTTTATTCGCAGGGGTTGTCACGCAGGGGTTGCCAAAGGAATATGGTTACCGGCAGAGGCCGCGGAAGCATTTCAAAAGTGGAGGTGCATTGACCAAAAGGGGCACTTTTGTATACGACCTAAATCAAGAAATTTTATGTCTTTCACAAGCCGAACGAAAATGTTTATAAAATGGAGTTTCTATAACGTCGGAAATGACCTTTATAGAGTCTTTACTGCTGCAAAAAGGGCATTTTCTTTCCAGCAAAAGAAGGAGTTATTCAAGAAATACTTTTCTCGTTCTTAGTTAATTTAAATGGGGCACTTTAGCCCAGAAAAAGGGCACTTTTTCATTTTAAAAAAGTGGGAGGCACATGCCCCCATTACCCCCCCCCCGGGTCCGCGGCCTCTGGTTACCGGTAAGGCTTGAAATGTTTAGTGAAAAATAGAAACGCAACTATGTATACGCGATAGTTCCATACTTTTAAAAGAGTTTAGGATCGCAACACCTTAAAAATGCATAATGAAACCCCAGAACACGGGCATTCATTGTATTAAAGACTTGAATAGTCAACTTACTGTTATCGCCTGTCATAACAATCTTCTGGCGCCATCCATGGATATTTACAATGTTTTCTCCTTCACACAACTTTGAATGTTTAAACTGACATGATGTCAATTTCATTGCTGAGAAGGAAATGAAAAATATCTTGATGAAGAAGAATTTTGTTTTGAACTCTATAGATATAATCACATGACAATAGTTTATACGGTATACATGTTAATTAAAAGAAACTGGAAACAAGCGATGTTTGACCTAATCTAACTTACGTTGTAGAAGTACGTGCCCAATTTTCGATACAACGTTAGAAGAAGTAAAATTGGAGTCTACCATCTTTGTAATCGTACGACAATCTCCATTTATCTTGTAACCCATCTATAATAGACATAACTGTGTAAAATAAGAGCCTACAAGAGGCTTACATGTGGCTCTGTGACAGCACAACGAGCTTAGTGCCTTAGTTCAAGTAACTACAGTAGGAATTCCAAATAGTGGCGAAGTCAGCATGAAAGTTTGGTCATGCTTATGCAAATTTTAATTCATTATCATTATTCATTTCTTTAGAAATTGACTGTTTTCACTGTCTTTGAACACGGAAATCATTGCATAACATCACAAAATTATCAGGCTGGCTTCACCACTGATTCCAAAATGATCTCACTTCGAAACATAATTTTTTAATTGTTTGGAAGAAGAAGATTAGTACAACAATAATGATAATGATATTAATGGTTCTCAAAACATATACTTACATAAATAGGTTTCTGGCCAGGAAGCATGAACCAGTTTTCGAAGTGAAGGGAAACCGTGCCCTTCTGGGCAATACTTAGACTGGTGGTTGTGACACATCTAATATAACCAGCAAATGAGAGAAATATTGCCAAAGGACAGTCACCACAATACAATCCTAGACATGCAATGTTGTAGATTCCTACGACACAAAGTTAAACTATTACTGAAATACCATAGTCTGCACACACAAGTCAGAAAAACGTCGGAAACATAAGGCAGCAACCACGAATGGATTACATTTATCTCACTACCTATTATATTGACGGGATACGATATTGGAATCCTGGTCGTTGTATCGTTGCCTAGGTGGAATTTTACATCAAGTTGGCCTGTTTAAAAAACGAAAAATATAATAGTACACATGCAAAACGCAAAGCATGCAGCGCCATGGGTTATAGTATAGCATGATATGGCATGACACGGTATGCACGGTATACAGCAATGAAGTCATTCGTGCAATGGTTCGAATATTTTAATTGGGCGAACAATGGATTTTACATGCCATTCAGCTCTCCCTTTGTGGCATAGTCAATCTTTCAGTGATATAGAATGACTTATTCAATTGACTCTCTAATACAAGTACATAAAGCTACGATGTGCTTTTCAAAGCATTTAGAAATGCATGTGATAACAATCATATATAACATGTATATTCGGCTTGATAATCCTATATCACGCCACAGTTAATAGACTGAGATGGTTAGGAGAGCCGGCAAACTTCAAAGCAAAATCGCAGCGGGCGGCATTTATGTCGAGGCACAAAGGAAATAAATGTCACGTGCACAGGAAAGGGGACACGCTTCAAAGATTTATATAAGATCGTATTACAGTTTTGCTGATTTTCTCAAATATATCGAAACGTTTCTTAATCCTGGAGCCGAAATCGCCGTTTTAGGATAGTTTTATGTGAGTAAGACGATGGAGAAAAGTTTGGAGGCGATTGAATCTATCCCTGAGCGTGTAGAGGCAGAAATCGAAGAAAATAGGAGCGTACCTGATGAGTTGCCATTTGTTGACGAAGGGGACGATGAAGAATCTAGCTTGCCTTTTCATTTTGAAATCACCATGGCCGTTATGGACGAAGACGAGGAGGCCGTTGAAAACGTTTTTGTTGAATCTGCTACGGAGATAGTGGGCGAAAAAATGTTTCCATGCAAAAATTGCGAAAAGATTTGTAAATCGAAAGCTGGCCTAACGAGGCATGTAAACGCAAAGCATGGCAGCAAAGCCACAGCAAATGCAAACATTCCTTCGCTTAAGAAAGATGAACTTACGTCTATCGTGAATAAAGTAAAAGCAAAGATAACAAAGGAGGGTTATTGGGACAAAGGAATAACTTCGGATTTGGTAAAAGTAACTTCGAACGATAACCTTTACGAAGCTGTCTCGCCAGTTTATCAACGATTTTGTAAGAAACGAAATCAAGATAATTTTCTCATCGAATTTTATGAGCTTATTCCCAAGTCATCTGCCCTCTTGAAATGCAAAAACCAGCCACTTTGTAGCCTGGTTATGATAAGCATATCTGATCACCTAGTAGCTTTGTTCAAGTCTACCAGTGGAAAGCAGAAGTCTGGCACTTCAAGTGAAAGCACAGAGCATGTAACAGAACTAAGCGAACATGAACGTGGACCCTTATCATATATTGCTGGCTACGTATTGGCGAAATTACAAAAACAGTGCTCGAGTAAACCAAATGAAGAGCTCCAGGTTATGTTACAGAGCATGAAACGTCCCAGTGTTGAGAACACATATATTGACACACGAAGTAGAGGTGGACTAGTGACACCATGTAGTGATCTAGTGCAAATCTTGGAGGTTGTGGAAATAGTATTTAGACAGTTCATTGCCCAGCAAACATCAGTGGTTAGTACTATTCCATGTGATACATTATGTAATGAAGCACTGGAGTCACCATTGCTTAAGTCACTGTGGGAAAACATTTTGCTTGGATGCAAGGACTTGCCGAAACAAACTACCAAGCTTTGTCTTGAAAACATTATTAAACTTTATATAAAGGTTCGCAGTTTTTCCTATGCTAGAGATTACATCAGCAAATTTAAAATTAAGCAAAAAGCAGCAAAGAGCAAAGCACTGCGGAAAGAACTTAAAAGGCATAATGTTGATAAGTAACTCACTGACTGTCTGTTTTGTCCCTGCATGAGGAGGGATTGCAGAATACCAGTCCACTTTTGATAGCTTGTTTAATTAAACAAATAAATGAATTAAAAAATTATTTCAAAACAGTTCACAGTTAAAAATTCAAAGATAAAACTCCAAGAACTGATATGTTGCTGTGATTAAATACAATGTAAGTCTTTGAAGAACGAAGCATTTGAAATTGGCATATTTTCCTCATTTCGCCATGTTTACAAGGAAATAACAGGTGTAATATGTCAAAGTGGACAGGTATTCTGCAATTTAGCTGTCCCGGAGCCTGTAAATAAAAATCCTGCTCCTTCAAGGCATTTCTTTTTCTCACATGTACTTTGCTAGTAATTGTTAACATCTTT